TTGTAGTAATTGTGATATTCAATCATCATGTCAGTTTGGATTGATACGTGTTTCGCCCATCACGAGGTAATGATGAATATACTCGTTAATACGCAGTTAATTATGGGAAGTCTGGAGCTTTTTTTGTGAATTTTATTAGTTCTACGCGAGTGTGTTAGAAATAGCCCGACTGTTCGTTCCACCATTTTCTGTTTGAGTAAGTGTGCGGTAAGGACACACATTTTCTGATCTCAAAAAGGAATTCCTTCGTTTCATATTTACTGAAGGTTCATTACCTTACATAATCCGTTCCTCTTGTACCTTTCGATGTCTAGTTTTGTTTTGTCATCTTGATCATTTTACAGACGGTAGGCTCCTTGGACGAGTGACCAGTTCGTCCTAAGGTCTCTGCCTAAGCACAGGACAACACATACACATACCGAACATCCATTCCTTATGTGGGATTCGAACTCATAATCCCAGCTTCCGACCGAGCGAAGACAGTACATACCTCAGACCATTCGGCTACCGTGACCGGCGAGGTTCATTACCACGATTAAAAAAGCCGGTTTAGTTCTCATTTTCACTCTTTTTCTCTATGATCCATTTTAATAACATTATCCGGTCTACGTCTAGGTCCTAAATGGTGTCTTCCTTTGAGTTAGTTCCCACGCCTAAAGTTTGTTTTTTATTTCTTCATTCGTGCCACATTAAGATAGTCACCTCTCCCTTTCAGTTCGCCGTATTTATCAAACGCACTTATCAGAGACCATTAAGTCTTTGAAGCACAGATGACATCCAGACAGTGTTTAATAATTCAGTTCCTACCTCACAGAAAACATGCTCCCTCTTTATTAAAAAGACCAATTATTTAATGCTGTGAGAGGGGGTACTCGCTGTTTATTCTCAGAAGCATACGAAATGCATAAGAATTATGGACTTTGAATATTAAATCTAGTGGTCCATATAATGCGCACTGTATTCCAGAGGGATACTATCAATGCGCACTCGCAAGTGCTTTTGCTTACGACAACCGGCAAGCCGTCAAGTGGCTCCTCCATCGGCGTTTTCGTGAACTCGTTGTAACTGACGCTGAGAGGACTCTACTTTACGTTACATTATATATAAAAGAAGGGGAATTTCATATAGAGTCGTAAAAGTTGGATTGATGGACAGTCAGTAAAATGAATAACTACCGACTGGACGACCAAAGCTCGATTAGAATTGAGGGAGGTGGATTTTCCTCTTCGTCATCATGTATAGACAGACTGTACGGTCCACCTAATTTATCCAATGGATACAGACCTGAGAGTGACGCAAATCACCAGTCAGTCCAGTATCTAGGTAAATAGCATACGGAATATATTATTTGAGGTAATGAAGAGTTCCATCTTCAGGGACATAACGCTGTTTAGCCCATTGAAAGTCAACTGACCTTTTGGAGGAACATTTCGTCCCCATCTTCGTGCTCAAAGAATAAATAAAGCAAGAAACTAGCGTGATATAAACACGGAACTAGCTTCATGTTCCCCCGAAACGTCGGTGAATTTTAGTTGACTACAAGGCGTTATATTTCAGAAAATGAAAGAACTTAAAAAATGGAATGTTACCTCTGCTGCCCCTATACGTCTCAGTGATGTGGAACTGTACGCTTTATGAAGAAATTCGTCTTCTGGGTTTAGGCACCATGTATTCGTTTTGGCCGACGTTTCGGAGGAACGTAGCGCCTCCATCTTCAGAGCAGTTGAATGGCTTGGAATGCGGAGAGCAGTAGCTGTAGTGATAGGATGTGAAAGGCGCTGCTTATATACGAAGTAGGCAGGGGGGGGTTAGGGAGAACGGACCAATGGGAGCAGTGGGGAGCGATTAAGACCATATATGGTGTTGTGTTGTCTAAGGGAGGGGGGAACGGCCAGTGAATCCAGGAAACTTGAGGTCGATAGCACTAGGAAGTGCGGTAGACAAGAAGAACCTGTAGGTTGGGGACAGGCTATTGACGTCAATGACATGACGAAGAACTCGTGTGGCTAGTTGGATTCTCTTGAGGGAAGAGATGCTTC